CAAAGATAGTTAATGGATGAAATAATTTTGGGGTTACATATATCTTTAATTCATTACTGCTGGTTATAGATGAACAATATAGATTGAGACTGCTTTCAAGTTCCTAGCTTCTGTAGCACAGTGCATTAGGTATTCACAATGAATAAGAATTTTGAGTTAAGGGATTTGAGTACTTTTTGACATAACTGTTTTACTGCTCATGGTTTTCAACATACTTTAAAACAAATGCATACACACCAAGGAAACCAGATCTGAAAGAGACACGTGCACCCCAATATTCATCGCAGCACTGTTTATAATAGCCAGGACATGGAAGCAATCTAGATGCCCATCAGCAGACGAATGGATAAGGAAGCTATGGTACATATACACCATGGAATATTACTCAGCCCTTAAAAAGAATTTATTTGAATCAGTTCTAATGAGATGGATGAAACTGGAGCCCATTATACAGAGTGAAGTAAGCCAGAAAGATAAAGACCATTACAGTATACTAACACATATATATGGAATTTAGAAAGATGGTAACGATAACCCTATATGCAAAACAGAAAAAGAGACACAGATGTACAGAACAGACTTTTGGACTCTGTGGGAGAAGGCAGGGTGGGATGTTTTGAGAGAACAGCATCGAAACATGTATATTATCTAGGGTGAAACAGATCACCAGCCCAGGTTGGATGCATGAGACAAGTGCTCGGGCCTGGTGCACTGGGAAGACCCAGAGGGATGGGGTGGGGAGGGAGGTGGGAGGGGGTATCGGGATGGGGAACACATGTAAATCCATGGCTGATTCATGTCAATGTATGGCAAAGACCACTATAGTACTGTAAAGTAATTAGCCTCAAACTAATAAAAATAAATGGAAAAAAATAAAATAAAATAAAACAAATGCACTGTTAACTTTTGAAAATTCTTTCAGATCACAATATAAATCTAGTTCTCTAGCTACTTTAAGAGACCTTGGGGGATATCTAGCTGTTAAGAATGCAGAGCAAGAGTGGAAAGAGACATATACTACAGAATATAAGAATAAAATTATTTATGTCTATCATCTTCTATTAGAATGTATTTTTTAAGAGGTTAGACTTTGGTTATTGACACTAGAATATATCTGGCACACAAGAGTTACTCAGTAAGTTTTTTGAGTGAATGAAAGGCCCTGATTCTGTTTCTAAAATTGATTTAACTGGAGGATAATTACTTTGCAGTATTGTGATAGTTTTTGCCATACATCAACACCTGATTCAGCTTTGTGTCCCCTCTTTTTTAATACATCATGCATGGTTTTACATCACCTTGATAACTGTCATAGGTAGCAGCAAAAATTTCCACTGTATGTCACGTAATTTACATAATCTTTCCCCTAATATTAGATATTTAGGTTGCTTGCTTTTGTTATTTATGCATAATGCTATGGTAGAATACATTCCTGCTTATGCTTTTTTTTTTTTTTATTACACATGGTTATTTTGTTGGGATAAATTCCTAGAAATGGCCTTACTGGGTGAATAGACTGAACAGTTTTTTGGTCCTAATACAAATATCCAGCATACTTTATTTATCAGCAAATACATAATAACGTCAGTTATTTCAGTTTGTATATGACCTACCCAGTTTTCATCGCCACAAAACCCTGCAGTCCTCATAAAGTTACTTTGTAGATATTTTATTCATTTGAAGATTTACATTGGAAGTCTGAGTCCTCATAAATAATACATTCATAGAAGTAGAAAAAGGCAATGTATCTTGAGTCAAAGCAAATTGACAGCAAGGGTAGTGTATTCTTTCATCACATAATACAGAGAAAATAGCAAGAAGATAATAACTGGTATTAATTCCTGAAAGTGTTTAAACATGCCAATTAAGTAGAAAGCAAGGAAGTATCATGGTGAATATTGAAAATAGGCCTATTATCTTTTTCCTTTCTTCCGTGCTGCCTTTTTTGGTGGAAAGGGAGGGAGACTTTGTATTTTTTAATTAACTCATTATAGAATTCATAAGCATTTTTAAACTGTACATAGCTTTTTAGCTTTTATTTTTCAGTGGAGAAATTATCAAGGTGATGCCAGTTTGCTTATACCCTGGAATGTTGGAATTTATGAGAACTATCATCACGGTATTTTTATCTATGCACCCTTTTAAAATTGCACATTTTTATTGTTGTTGAATGCCTCTAAAAATTTAGACATCTGGCTGTTACAGTTAGGATCTGCTGATACCTTTGTGCCTTGGCTTCTCCCTTCCTGAAAGTGTGTTATTTAAGCTTTCCTCATTTCACAGGAATTGACTGTTAGCATTCCATACTCTGGACTCAGAGTTCGTATACCTTGTCTGTAGGGAGACGTACCCTCATGGATTGCCTCCAAGACTATGATATTCATCTATTTCCTGTCTTTATTGGCATTACTGATTTTGAGACTGGATATACTGGATTCCCTTCCAAGTTATATATTATCAGTGATTTCCCATTAAATTTTAGCTCTTTGTTTTCTAATTACTGTCTCTACTTGCAATATATTGATTAGATTCCTTATTTGACTTCTCTAAGTTGGTTTTTACCTTATCACTATTCCTAGCATAGTGTTAGTTCTCTATTTTTACATAAGTCTAGTGATTGAGAAACCCACTCCAGTACTCTTGCCTGGAAAATCCCATGGACGGAGGAGCCTGGTAGGCTGCAGTCCATGGGGTCGCTAAGAGTCAGACACGACTGAGCGACTTCACTTTCACTTTTCACTTTCATGCATTGGAGAAGGAAATGGCAACCCACTCCAGTGTTCTTGCCTGGAGAATCCCAGGGACGGCGGAGCCTGGTGGGCTGCCGTCTATGGGGTCGCACAGAGTCGGACACGACTGAAGCAACTTAGCAGCAGCAGTGATTGAGAAGTAACATGACTGTGGGATTGTGAAAAATAATAAACTATTCATATTTAAAGGATATGGTTACTATTGAACACTTTCAGTTCAGTCGCTCAGTCATGTCCGACTCTTTGCAACCCCATGGACTACAGCATGCCAGGCTTTCCTGTCCATCACCAACTCCCAGAGCTTGCTCAAACTTATGTCCGTTGAGTCAGTGATGACTCACTGAACACTTAACATCACCAAATAGGACACCAGAAGTTGACAAAAATATAAAAGGAAGTGTCAAAATTCCAGTCTTGGTAGGAGATCTGAATACCTATATGCTGCTATATAAGGGATACCAAAGCTCATCAAGGATAAAATAGATTTAAATAGCACAGTAGCAACCTTGACCTTATATCTGTATATATCACACTTTACCCACAATGCAGGATAGTTTTCAAGTACTCATGATAAAGTTAGACACACAGATAAATATTTTATAATATGAAGCTAATTTTAATTATTTCAAAAGATTACTCTTATACAAATTTTATTCTCTAATATGTTGCAAAAACATAGAACTTGAAAAGGTGAACTTTATTCGTTTTCCAAATTTGACCACATGATACTCAGTAAAGAAAGGGGTATGTCATGGGAATTGACTCTGGAGTTACCATTCAGATTGCCTGACTGTATTAAGGCTTAAGATACCTCACTCTAAACTGAAAATCATTTTGTCCTTCCTTATTTTGATTCTGAATCTGTTTTCATTTTTATTCCTGTTTTAGCTCTACTTTGTCTCAGACCTTCTCAATTCTATGAAACAGCAAAAAGATTCTTTGCTAATCCCTTTCTAGAAATCTAAGATAGAAATTAAGTTGTTTTCCATCCTAAATGGGTCTCCTCCTTCCCTCTTAAGTATTATGTTAATTTCAAAAGAACAAACTAGCATCTTGATGCTAGTTTCTTTAGTCATTGAAACAGCCTCTGCTTTTACTGAACACATATCACTGTGTTAAAAGTTAAAATTGCTATGATAGGAGAAGACGTCCTGAGTATTCAGTTTTGGTATATGTTTCTGTTTTTTTTATTTCTATATTTCAGTTTTATGAATAAGTTTTATAAAATAAACTTTAGACAGTGCCATGGTGTTTTTGTTTGGTGATTTATTTTTAATAGGAATCTTTATTTCATTGAATTTCTCTTTCTTTTGTCTCTTATGTCTTTCTTCCTCTTGTTTTTTCCAATGGCATTTTCTTCATGCTGTGCTAAGTCTCATGTCTCATCTTTCAGAAATACGAGAAACATTTATAAGATTTTTTTAATACAAGTGTGTGCCAGTTAAGTTTGTAAACAGACTAGAATGAGTTGGTATGTGGTAATGATGAGATGCTGTTAATTGAAAGATAAACCAAGGAAACATGTTATTTTGTTATGATCATTTGAAAAGTCAGATATAGACAGATTTACTCTTTCTTTGGAGAGTGTACTAGGAAATCAATGGGAAAACACTCCTATATTTTATGATGCTTATTTCTTTCCTTTTGATGTGAGCCTTAAAAAAATCATATAAAGTAAATGACAAGATAATTACCTCCACTTTTAAAAATATAAATAAAATGTCTAGTAAAGACTTTACAAGAAGAGATGGGGTGAAATTTTCAGCATGAAAAAATGGTTTCTGAGACACTGCCTCTTATACTCAAACCCCTAGAAATGTTCCCCAGCCATCCATAAAAATGGTATTATAATTTATATTTAAATTAATAAAATAGGTACCAATAGGTATATCTACAATGCTTTGCTTTTTTATGGAAGTATAGTTGATTTATAATGTTGTATTAGTTTCAGGTGTACAACAGTGACTGAGTTACATATGTATTCCTTAATGCTTACCTTCACCTAGATTCTTAATGTTTTATAGTCTAAGGTGCTAATTTTTTGACCAGCTGAATAATTATTACAAGCTGTAAGCTTATTATTATTTTCTTTCTTGACCGCCATCTGTCAGAAACAAAAGGGAAGATAAAAATCTCACCGAGCCATGAAAGATTCTGTATTGCCTGATGTGCCTTCTAAGGAGACACATCTATATGGAAGACAAAAATTAATGCTGCATTTTAAAGAGAATCTTTGTTACTTCATTGCAGGTGGGGAACCCAAGGAGACTTCACCACTACTCATCCACGGCCTGTGGTCAAAGTAAAACTCTTCACAGAAAGCACTGGCGTCCTGGCTCTTGAAGATAAAGAACTGGGAAGGGTGAGTTATGGTCAGCGCCACGTGTCCCAGGCAGCACAATGTTAACTTCTCCTGATTTAGAGTTGAAATGGGCCAGCATGCAGTGTGTGAACTACGTTAAGAATTTATTTGTAATTTCCTATGAGCCCAGCTTACATCTCTGATTTACTAAACATAAGTGCTGTAATTAGACTGTATTGTGATAGGTCTTGGGTGTGTAAGGGGAACACATAAGGTCATAGGCACTGACTGAGTCATTCCCGTCACACGTACTTCACTGGCCGCCAAGGGAGTGGTACAGACTGACTTGTCCTTCTTGGTGAAAGGTTACCCTAATTTAAACATTTCTGTCCATTGACTAAAAGCATCCTCTTTATATTGGAAGTCATCTGTTCCTTATATTGTGATTAGACTAATTACAGATATCTCAAGTATATTTCTTTCTTATACCTATTTTTCTCTGTGCAAAGATTTTTGTCACACACCTTTTAACACAGAATTATTTTTGCCCCCCTATGGTCACCTCCTTGTACCTAGAATGTGAGTGCTGAGGTCACTTCAGTCGTGTCTGACTTTTTACGACTCCATGGGTTGTAGCCTGCCAGACTTCTCTGTCCATGGGTTTTTCCAGGCAAAGATACTGGAGTAGATTGTCATTTCTGCCTCCAGGGGTTCTTCCCGGCCCCCTCCAGTTCCTGTGTCTTTCACCTATACTCAGCATCTTCTGACTGTAAAAGCACCACCATTAACATGTGCTGTCAACACCTCTCTGTGTGAAAGATTTTCTGCAGTCTTGTTTCTGAAGTAGATGTGTTCCAACGAGTCATCTATAAAGTTATCTTCTGTAATGTGGCTCTATTTACTCAGACCTGAGCACTGCTTTCATAGGTATTTTCCAGAGGATGAAGCCTCAAGAAATCTCTCAGGAATTTCTCGTGATGGTGGCTTGCTGCTGTGATGCTCCGTGTTGAAGGACAATAGGATTAGTGTGTATACTGGATTTTTCCCCCCTAAAGTTAGGATTTCTATTGATTTCAAATCTTCCTCCTTTTCTGTCTACTTTACATCTTTAAAGTTTCTTTTCATTTCTAGAGATTTTGTGAATCTCTACCCACAGTCCAGAAATTGTGAGTCTGCACTTACATTCTATATTTCCTCTTCTGTTTCCCTGTTGCATCTATTTCTTAATTACCTAAGAGAGCTAAACCATAATATTCATTCATTTGTGTGCTTGTATATTTGTGCATTTACTCATGCAAAAAACGTGTACAGGTGGCATAATAGAGCCCTGGAGATTCCATATAGTCTGATGGATTTGTGAGTCCAAATTTTTCATTTAAATTATGGTTATATTCATTTTACCTTATTTCTTTATTGTGTTTTTCACTGTCGAATAGCAGCAGCCATTTAAGTCTAATGCTATAATGTAACTTGAGGTATATTTAATTTATTCTTCAGCTCTACATATTGCATATGTATATGCAACATATATATATATATATATATATATATACACACATATCCCAAAGAAAGGCATTGCCAAAGAATGTTCAAACTACCACACAATTGCACTCATCTCACAAGCTAGCAAAGTAATGCCCAAAATTCTCTAAGCCAGCTTTCAACAGTACGTGAACTGTGAACTTCCAGATGTAAAAGCTGGATTTAGAAAAGGCAAAGGAACCAGAGATTAAATTGCCAATATCTGTTGGATCATTGAAAAAGCAAGAGAGTTCGATAAAAACATCTACTTCTGCTTTATTGACTACGTCAAAGCCTTTGACTGTGTGGATCACAACAAACCGTGGAAAATTTTTAAAGAGATGGGAATACCAGACCACCTGACCTACCTCCTGAGAAATCTGTATGCAGATCAAGAAGCAACAGTTAGAACTAGATGTGTAACAACAGATGTGTAACAACTAGATGTGAACCAACCTGATTGGTTCCCAATCAGGAAAGGAGTACATCAAGGCTGTATATTGTCACCCTGCTTATTTAACTTATATGCAGAGTACGTTATGCAAAAGGCTGATCTGGATGAAGGACAAGCTGGAATCAAGATTGCTGGGAGAAATATCAATAACCTCAGATACGCAGGTGACACCACCCTTATGGCAGAAAGTGAAGAGGAACTAAAGGGCCTCTTGATGAAAGTGAAAGAGGAGAGTGAAAAAGCTGGCTTAAAACTCAGCATTCAGAAAACTAAGATCATGGCTTCTGGTCCCATTACTTCATGGCAAATAGATGGGGAAACGATGGAAACAGTGAGAGACTTTATTTTTTGGTCTCCAAAATCATGGCAGATGGTGACTGCAGCCATGAAATTTAAAGACACTTGCTGCTTGGAAGAAAACCTATGACCAACCTAGACAGCACATTAAAAAGCAGAGACATTACTTTGCCAACAAAAGTCTGTCCAGCCAAAGCTATGGTTTTTCCCATAGTCATGTATAGATGTGAGAGTTGGACTATAAAGAAAGCTGAGTGCTGAAGAATTGATGTTTTTGAATTGTGGTGTTCAGGAAGTCTCTTGAGAATCCCTTGGACTGCAAGGAGATCCAACCAGTCAGTCCTAAAGAAATCAGTCCTGAATTTTCATTGGAAGGACAGATGCTGAAGCTGAAACTCCAGTACTTTGGCCACCTGATGGGAAGAACTGACTCATTTAAAAAGACCCTGATGCTGGGAAAGATTGAGGGTGGGAGGAGAAGGGGATGACAGAGGATGAGATGGTTGGATGGCATCACCGACTCGATGGACATGAGTTTAAGTAGGCTCCAGGAGTTGGTGGTGGACAGAGAGGCCTGGTGTGCTGCAGTCCATGGGGTTACAAAGAGTCAGATGTGATTGAGTGAGCGACTGAACTGAACTGATGCAACTTTTAAATAATGTGCATGAGTGGTATATTTTCCAGTCGTTTGTATATCTGAGAAAGGCCTTGTACTCCTGTGTTCCCATCATACACGAAAGACAATTTTTCTATCTGTATAAGAGTTTCTCAACCTTAGCACTGTTGATGTTCTGAGGAGGATAATTCTTTGCTCTTAGGAGCACTCCTGTGCATTTTATGATATTTCAGTAGCATTCCTGACCTCCAGTCAATATATCCAGTAGTCTCATCCCCTCTTAAGTAAAGTTAATAAAAAATGTCTCCAGACATTGCCAAGCATCCCCTGGGAGCACGACCTGCTTGCAAGACTTTGATCTATGCTAGTGACCTCAGTAGGTTCCATGATTATAAATGTGTTCATGGGTTCATGACTTCCCATTTTTAAATTGTCTTCCTTGGAGCTTTAGATTTGTATATCTAACTTGCATACTTGGTATTTCTAGTGTATTAACGGATATCACACACTAAATATTTTTGAAATAAGAACTTTTGATTAGCAACCCCATCTAGTCTTCCATAGAGGTTGTTTTCAAGGCAGTGACCTCAGCTTGCCCTTTTTTTCTTCTTCTTTGACTAATATCCAGTCTATTTGCAAGTTCTGTCAGCTTTTTCCTAAATTTATACTGAATTGGTTCACACTTTAACATTTTCTCTGCCCTGATTCAAGACAGTTTCTCACTAGTAGTAGTCCACTTACTGCTTCCTCATTTGTCATCCCGTCCCCTCTGATTCAGCTTTCACACCTCAGCCACTATTATCTATGTAAAATTCAACACAGAAGCACATCATTCTGTCTTTCAAACCTTACATTGTCTTCTCATCTATTTGGAATAAAAAAATCAGACTCTTCATTGTAGTATGGTATGCCCAGGAAGGTTTCTCAAAGTGGGACCCTGTACCAGCAGCATCAGCAACACCTGGAAGATGGTTGCAAATTCAGATTCTCAGGCCCAAATCTCTGTCTGCTGGATCAGAAATTTGGTGGGTAGGATGCCATAGTCTCTTTTAACAAGGCCTCATCATTGGACACAACCAACATTGAAGAACTCCACTCCACCTGAACAAGTCTCTCGAAATTTACCTCCTATCACACCCACCTTGTTTACTGTTATTCTTCCTTCACGCTTGGCTTTCTTACCTCAAACATAATCAGATTTTTAATTTGAGGTCAGGACTTCCCTGGTGGTCCAATGGTTAAGAATCAACCTGCCAATCTAGATGCTTGTATTTATTTTGACTGTTTTATTGCATCTATTGGGCTTCCCTGATGACTCAGATGGTAAAGAATCTGCCTGTGATGCAAGAGACCTGGGTTTGATCCCTGGGTTGGGAAGATCCTCTGGAGAAGGGAATGGTAATCCACTCTAGTGTTCTTGCCTGGAGAATCCCATGTACAGAGGAGTCTGGCAGGCTACAGAACCTGGGGTCGCAATGAGTCAGACACGACTGAGCGGCTAACAACAACAATTGCATCTATAAGATTCTCCACGACAGTGAATAGATATAGTGAAAGTGGACATTCTAGTCTTATTCTTGATCTTAGGGAAGAAACATTCAGTCTTTGAATATTAAATATAGCATTAATTGGGACTTCCCTGGTGGTCCAGTGGTTTAAGAGTCTGCCTGCCAATTCAGGGGACATGGGTTTTATCCCTGATCAGGAGGATTCCACATGCCGTGGACAACTAAGTCCATGAGCCACAACTATTGAAGCCTGCATGCTCTAGAGCCCATGTTCTACAACAAGAGAAGCAGCTGCAATAAGAAGCCTGCATGCAGCAACAAAGACCCAGTGCAGCCAAAAGTATATTAATTAATTAATTAATTTAAAGAAACTTTGGGTCTTTAGACATGACCACATGTGACCACATATATATGACCACATGTGCACTCACACACAATTAGAAGAAAACATTGGTCATCTCTGGATGGTAGAGCTGTTGGTAATGTTTTCTATATATTTATCTACTTTTACATGTGGCGTCGCAAGAGTTGGACACAGCTTAGCAACTGAACCACTACAACCACACTTAGAAACAGCATAAAGAGTTAAATTTGAAGAAAAAGGCCTTACATCATCTGAAGTCTGTAGTCTAAAATTATATAATTCTGTATCTGGGGATCTTGG